TATATATATATATATATATATATATATACTTTGCTTTAGCAGGCATTGAGTTTATTAATATTTCCGGTTTTGTGATGGCTTATGTCAATTAGCTGTAGCGTCCATCTTGAATCTGGTTGATTCCAAAAGTTAATCAGCAGTAGATGCACAAACAGTGATTACTTTCTAAACATCAAGTTCATGCTCAATAATCCAAGGAAATAATCCTACAAAGTTAAGTCAGGTCATCTGGACGGTTTCTTTTTTTGTTGAGATGCTTCGTTCTTTATCCAGAGAACTTCTTCAGTCCGAGGAGGCACACCAAACTCAGTCCCACAAGCAGCATGCTCACATAGTGGACCAACCAGTTTGCTGGTGATAAGATGGTTTCTGGAGCTCACCCTCTCCCCCGTCTACTCCTCTGAGGCAGCCATAGCCAACGTGGCTCAAAGCATGAGTTTGGGAATGAGTTTGTTGTGGCTCCTCAGACTGATGAAGTCCTTTGGCTGAAGGACGAAACGTCTCAACAAAAAAAGAAACCCTCCAGAGGACCTGACATTGTTTTAACTGGATTATTGAGCACGAACTTTGATGTTTTGAACCACGTTGGCTATAGCTGCCTCAGAGGAGTAGACAGGGGAGAGAGCGAGCCCCAGAAACCATCTTATCATCAGTAAACTGGTTGGTCCACTATTTGAGTGTGCTGCTTGTGGGACTGAGTTTGTTGTGCCTCCTCGAACTGATGAAGTTGTTTGGATGAATGACGAAACGTCTCAAAACAACAACAAAAACCAACACCCAGATGCCCTGCCTGAACTTTGTTGGATTACTTTCTAAATGTTTTACACAAGTCTTTCTAGTGGTTCATGAGATATTTTGCTAACAGACAGATGGAGTTAACTGTAATAGTTTGTGGCAAAGTTTTAAAAGCAGATCTTGTGTGATCAGTCAGCACTCAGAGTATTTGTTGGGAATCACTCTCAGCTACTACCACACCAAATATTAGCTCAGTATGTGAGAAAAAAGGATGAGTCTTGGTCATTCTTTGTGTTTGCTAATGTGTTGCAGCTGTGGCAGCCATCTTGAATGGGCTTGACTCCATAAGCTTAACAGTTGTATATCCAGTAATTACTCTGAGAGTTTCATTAAAATCTGTCCACTGGTTCATAAAATATTTTGCCAACACTACAGATACGTGCAGAAATCGACACACTATTAAAAAAAGAGTTTGCACACAAACACATCATGACCTCTTGGTAAGTGTCCACTACACTTCATTGGTTTGTTGCCAGAACATTAACTAAATGTGAAAACACAATGAAGCAGGATGTGACCTGGTGTTAGAGTATTTGTGACCTGCGGTTGTGCTCGTTGGTAACGAGGACTGATTCCTGACGGGCTGATGATGTGTCTTAAACACAATCTGTGACCTGGATTATAGCCCAGGTCTTTCTGACCTCTTTGCCTCGACTCCTGAGCTGACAATCACGCAACAACTTGGTCTTTTGGTCCATCTTGATGTCAAACTCAGCCAATTCTTTGACTTGTTACAGTGCCACAAACTGCTTCATGCCTCAACGACTTACACTTGTTAAAAATCACAGACGGGGAAAATAAAACAATGAGTTTCCAGCCAAATAATAATAATAATAAAAACCACAAGTGAATTTAAGGCAACGTTTTGATGGCAAATTGCACTTTGTGCGAATACTGAGGCGTAACACAATGCCTGTTGCTTAAGGCTTCGAACGTTTAGGGACTGAATTGTGTCAAACCATCTGGTGAACTGAAATGTTTCACTCAAAGTTTGCCACTAATGTTGTCATTATCTGCACAGCCGTTCTACCTACTGTTGTGTGGCCATTAGGAGTCTCCTCCTTGGCAGAGGAGATTATGAGGGGGGGAAAAGATGGGGGTGTTTTTATTAACAGTAGCAGAAACTCTTCAATGCTTTTTTTTTTTTCAGCCACCCTTTTTCACCTAAACACAAGAAGCTCACACGCAGCGTGACTCTTTTCCTCCTATATGTGTTTGTGATCTCGTTGTATTTTGGTGCATGGCGGCCTAATGTTGCACAGAGTACGGAGCGCGTTAATCAGCAGCTGTTTATCGCTCCCCCAGTACCCAAGAATGAATCATTTATCCCTCATCGTCCCCTCCAACCAAGATGCTCCTTGTCGATTAAAAGGCAGACGAACTCACAGGTTTTTAAAACGTGTTTTCTTTTGATGTTTGTCTCTAATGTGCAGGTTTGGCATGGTTTCCACCTGGCCTCCATTTGTCTGTCAGACACCTGCAGGCCAATGGGACTAACTGGAAATTAGGCCTATGTTTTGGACAAACCTCCTCACGGCTCCAAATGTGAAACAGGTGTAATTGTGCACCCAGTGGTTACTTTCTGAGAGTTTCGTTAAAATCTGTCCAGTGGTTCATTGGATATTTTGCTAACAGAGTCCAACAGTTAACAGTGAAGTTTTAATGACAGCTCTCTGTTAGCGCTGAGGGTATGTGTTGGATAGCACTTTCAGCTACAACCATGCTAAATGTTAGCGCAACATCTGTAGGTCTGATGAAGCTTTAGCCATTTTTGTATCTGCTAAGGTCACTTAGCTATGGCGGCCATCTTGAACTGGACTGACACCAAATGCTAAGCTGTTGTAAATATGCATCCAATTCAATTCAATTCAAAAATACTTTAATAATCCCAGAGGGAAAGTAAATAGTGTATATATTTATAATAGTGTGTATATTTTCCAAGTTTTATTAAGTTCCAACTGTTGGCTCATGAGATATTTTGCTAACATTGCAGAGAGGTATACAAGGATACAGATAGCCTGTGATATGAATGTACTTTTGTGTATAAACAAATAATGCTTCATTTATTTGCTACTGAATCAATAATATATCAAAAAAAGCAAATTACTTTGAACATTTTCAACGGTTTGTTGTTTTTTCCTCCAGAAATTTGAAGCTCTGACAGATTTATTCAGACCATTGAAACTGCAGCATGATAGTGACGCCTCGCGTGTCCTAAAATGTAAAAACACTTTATGGGACGAGTCACGTCGGCAGTCATCATCCAAAGATTTACTGAGACAAGAAGCTGTCATGTAACCTTCATGTACCTGTGCTGGCGTTCTTAACAACAGCTCCAATCTCCTGTCAAATTCCACCTGAGTGCTCCTCAAAGAAAATTGATGCCATTAAAGTTGTCCTACCGTTTAGGAGCCCGTAGCATTTTGTGCTTTCTATCAACTCTAATTACAAGTTTATGTTTTTATTTTTTTATTTATTGCGCTTTACTCGAGCGATTTGGTGTGATTCGGGTCTGGGCTCCTTGGTTTGAGGAGAATTGCAGACCTAAAACAACTTATTTATTTTATTTTACCTTTATTTAGGCATAAACACTAACAAATTATTATTTACAGTGCTGGCCTGGCAAGCACCAACAGGTACTTGTAGGGTCAAGGGAAGGGAAACAATACAGTTAGGCAAAACTATAAAATATAGTAGACAATAACAAACAAGGAATCACAAATTACATTAACAGCTCATTGTCAAAGTTAAACGATAAAAGAGTGCTAAGCATGAAAACACTTGCAAGTATCTTTTGTAACAGTTTTTAAACAATTTTTTTAAGTAGAAACAGAGACAATGGAAGTAAGACCCAAAGTTTTTGAAGCAGATGGAGCTGCAGAGCCAAAGCCAGACTTGGTCTTTAGAGTTGTTAACCACAAATACTGAGAGGAGGTTCGGTGTTATACTTCTAAACCAGTGCTAGTTGCAGTAGATTGTTAAATATAACCCAGCAACGTCTTATAAATGAGGGAAAACCAATGAATTTCACAACAAGTATGTAGAGAAGACCATTTAACAAGAGAGCAGAGGTGATTGTGTTCTATAAGGAGCATTTGTAACAAATAGAATAGCAGAGTGAACAATCGTGTCCAGCTTACAAAGGACACCCTTACAAGCAGGTCTGTAAATTATGTCCCCATAATCCAACAGAGGTAGAATTTTTTTTTTTTTCAACAATGGTGCGTTTTGCAGCCAATGAAGATCGATTTCTATATAGATAACCAAGTCTCGCTTTATCCTTACATTGCAAAGCATTAACACGATGTGAAAAGGACAGAGCACCATCAATCCAAATTCTCAAATATTGCTACCTCTTCTATAATATCACCGTTTACAGTGGTGAAGTCCACTGAGGTGGGTATGGTTCCCCCCCATGACCGAACCACATAAATTTAGTTTTCTTCGCATTTAAGGACAAATTTACCGGTAAGTCAGAAAAGGCCTGCTGGATTTCAAGAAAACCACATGCCAGGGACTTCACAACCTCATCCAGAGTAGAACCAAAAGCATATAAAATACACTGCTCCAATAATAATAATAATAATAATAATAATAATAATAATAATAATAATAATAATAATAATAAAGGGAACACCTAAACAAAACAATGTAACTCCAAATCAGTCACACCTTTGTGCAATCAATGTCATCAGTTACACTTGTTGTGAATCAGTTTCAGCTGCTGCTGTGCAAATGGAACACACAACAGGTGGAATGAGAGGCAAGTAGCAAGACAACCCCTACAATAGAGTGATTCTGCAGGTGGTGACCACAGGTCATTTCTCTGTTCTCGTCCTTTCTGGTTGAAATTTTAGTCACTTTTTCATTTTGTCAGTGCTGTCACACATAGAGGCATCATCAGGTGTTTTTTACAGCCCACTGAAGTTGCTCAAGTAGTGCAGTTAATCCAAGATGGAACATCAATGCGAGCGGTGGCAAGAAGATTTGCTGTGTCTCTCAGCACAGTGTCCAGAGCATGGAATAGGTACCAGGAGACAAGCCAGTACACCAGGAGACATGGAGGGGGCCGTAGGAGGGCTACAACCCAGCAGCAGGACTGCTACCTCGTCCTTTGTGCAAGGAGGAACAGGAGGTCCACTGCCAGGGTCCTACAAAATTAATTCCAGCAGACCACTAATGTGCATGTTTCCACTAAAACTGTCAGAAACAGACTCCATGAGGGTGGTACGAGGACCCGACGTCTACATATAGGGCCTGTGATTACAGCCCAACACCGTGCAGGACAATTGGTTTTTGCTAGGGTATACCAAAATTAGTAGATTCAACATTGGCACCCTGTGCTCTTCACGAATGAAAGCAGGTTCACACTGAGCACGTGTCAGACGTGACAGAGTTTGGAGACACCGTGGAGAATATTATGCTGCCTGCAACATCCTCCTGCATGACCAGTTTGGCGGTGGGTCAGTCATGGTGTGGGGAGGCATTTCTTTGGATGGCCACACAACCCTCCATGTGCTAGCCAGAGGTGCCCAGACCTGTATTAGAGCATCAGTTAGCTCCTGAACAGTCTATGGTGCGATGTGGCCTTGATGGATTGACCGAAACATGATATCCCAGATGTGTTCGATTGGATTCAGGTCTGGGAAACGGGCAAGCCAGTCCATAACATCAATGCCCTCATCAGCAGGAACTGCTGACACACTTCAGCCACATGAGGCCTAGCATTGTCGTGCATAAGAAGGAACCCAGGGCCCACTGCACCAACATATGGCCTCACAATGGGTCTGAGGATCTTATCCCGGTACCTTATGGTAGTCTGGGAAGAGATCCCTCAGGAGAACATCTGCCGTCTCATCAGGAGCATGTCCAGGCGTTGTTGGGAGGTTATACAGGTACGTGGAGGCCACACACACTACTGAGCCTCATTTAGACTCGTCTTGAGGAATATTCACTGACGTTGAATTAGCCTGTCATATTATTTTCCACTTTCATATTGGGTATGAATCCAAATCCAGATCTCCATGGTATAATAATTTTGATTTACATTGATCATTTTTGTGTTATTTTCTTCTCAATCAATTCCACTGCGCTAATAATAAAGTTTGTCAATGAGAATATTTAATTAATCGAGGTTGTGTGTTATTTTAGTGTTCCCTTTAATTTTGTGAGCAGTGGTAGTATTATCAGCATATAAATGAATGGAGGCCTCACTAACAGAATGTGAGATATCATTTATAAATATGGCGAAAAGAGTTGGACCAAGAATGGAGCCTTGGGGTACACCTGACATAACCGGAAGAAACTGAAGTATGAGAGTCAACCTTCACTAGATACGACCTGTATAATTCTATTATGTCATTTAATTGTGCTCAAAGTAGTTTATTTAATTTTATTTAATGTTTTGTATATTTCTAGATGGAAGTGATTGTGGCTTTGACTGCATCACTCAAGTGTGATTCTGAGACCCTGCAAAAAACAACAACAAAACAACAACAACAAAACAATCATATGTTAAGTTATTCTTGTTTTTACTGAAGACGAGATGCAATAATGCTTGTGCCCATGTGTGCTTGTGCATTTATCTGTTACCAAAATGTCTCATGTATCAATGGACGGATTTAAGTGAAGCTCTCAGGTTATAATCACTGGACGTACTTCTACAACTGATTAACTTTTAGAGTCAACTCCATTCAAGATGGCCACCACTGCTAACCAACCTCAGCAAACGTGTGTATCCTTTGCTTTAGCAGGCATTGCGTTAACATTTGATGTGGTAGTAGCTGAGTCATCCACAACTCCTGCTCTGAGCTCTTCAAATCGCTCATCTTTGCCTAAAACTTTGGCTCAACCTGCTAGACTCATCACAATTAATCTGTTAGCAAAATATGTCTTAAATCATTGGACAGATTTTAGTGAGACTCTCAAAAATAAACCATCACATTTAGAACATAACATCTGGAGTGGAACCAATTCAAGATGGCCGTCACAACTAATCGAACTTAACCAATAAGAAACGGGTTTTAACTCAGTTTTATGGATACTGAGCAACAGTATGGAGTGGTAGTAGTTGAGGTTGATAGATTGCACAAGATCTTTAATATTTTGTCATTAGGTAATCAGTCAACTTTGTCTGTTAGCAAAATATCTCATGGACCATTTGACGGGTTTTAATGAAACTTACAGGAAATAATCATCGGGTGTAGTTCTAGATCTTTTTAACTTTTGGAGCTAACTCCATTCAAGGTGGCCACCACAGACAACTAACCTTCGAAAACACAAAACGGCAATAATTTAGATATTTTTTACAGATATTGAGCTAAAGTTTGTTGTGCCACAATATGTCATTAAATAAAGTACAATGCCTTCTACAAGGTGTTACCAAAACAGCTGCAGCCCCATTCCTTCTCATCAGATGATTTCAGATTATCCGACATTACACCGTTGGTTATAATAAAGCCTGTCAGTACCGGTTTCGGTCTTTTCAATAACGACCGTGTAAATTCACACAGATCTTTGCGCAGACGACTCCAATTATAATTCAAAACTGCATTTTCTTTCAGCGCGATACAAAACCTGTGACCATCCTAAAGTTAAAGTCCAGCCAAAAGACATGAATGAAAAGTGTTCACCTCCATTAATTAAACTCACCTCTTGTTGTGTGAGAGTTCATCCTGCTGCAAAACACTCTCATAATGCAGGAGGAACTCTTCATTCATTCTACAGCCGTTCATATAAGTTTATTTTACAAAAAAGAAAGTCCTTTTCTCCGGCAAGTCCAGTGACATTTTAATGAATCCGGTGCAAAAACACCTTTTTGTGTTTTGTCAATGTGGCTGTGTCTCCGTTTGTTTCGCTGCTTTGCCATTACAGGTTTAATTAAGCTAATGAGGCAACAGATATTTCTCAGGAGTGGCTTTGAAGGAAATGAAGTCGCCCCCCCATCCCACCTCCTCCCCATGTGACGCCACACTATAAAAGAGGGGCGACGTTGGGAATCTGTCAAAGGAGATTTGGACAAAGTGAAAACCCACAACTATTGCCACAGAGTAAGGATTTGTTTTGAAATTTCTTATAATTTAATTGAAAGTTTCATTTTTCACTGGAAGTCTGAACACTTTCAGCACTTGAGCCCTAAAACTTGCTATAAACTGGATACTTTTGTTGCTGTTAAATGGCACATAATTAGATTCTCCTTTTCATTTTCACTTCTCTTCGATCCAGGATTTCCTGCAGCACTGCGATGTCTCCAAGTCTTCTGGCTCTCTGCCTGCTGGTTTGTACCCTCTCTGGCTTAAATGCGTACCCAGTCAAGCCCGCTAGTCCTCGGGAAGGAGCAGCACCTGAGGAACTCGCCAAGTACTACTCAGCCCTGAGGCACTACATCAATCTCATTACGAGGCAGAGGTGCGTCTGGGAAAGACTTCTGGGGAGGGTTTCTGTCAAATGTGTGCTGATTCCCTTTGTTTGTCCAGGTATGGGAAAAGGGACAGTCCAGACACGGTCTTCTCAGACGTGCTTGTGAAAGAGAGCACAGAGAGCATTCCAGGGTCCAGCTATATCAGGTAACTGTCTTTATAATTATTTTGTTTTACTTGCAAGTAAATTTACGCTGGCACTAAACAAATTTTAAGAAATATTTATTATTACCTGCGCTTTTTCAGTGATCAGTCATTATATCAGCCTGCTTCTCCAGTTGTGTACTAGAGAATCTCTCACTCTACGTACAGTAGCTTTTAATATTTAGCAATTTTTTTGTGTATTTCTGTAGATACGAGGGGCTGCCAGGATGGTGACGCTGCCGCTGAAGTTGTCGACACCTGAAAGTTGTCGACACCTGAAAGTTGCTCCTGTGTCTCTTTCTGACATCAAATGAACTTGTGTTGCATGAATAAACACTGTTCAAATAAACTTTTTTTTGTGACTATCTGGACAAAGGTACTCACTGCAGTGTCATGAAGGCCAGCTCCAAAAAATCATCAACAAAATCTACACTTCTTTTTTTTATTATTAGAGGTTAAACTTAAAATTTAAAAGAAAAAATGGTGACCCGATACCGTTTGTTTAAAACTGCAATGGACAAAGTCACGGAAAACGGGTGATGTCCACGAAAGAGCTGCTTGAGAACAAGAAGTTTGAATTTTGATGTATTATGTTTGCAGTATTTATGCATGCATCAGATTTGTTGAGTAAAGTATGCAGATTAAAAGACAGGTTAGCTTGAAATGGTAAATTTATCCATTCTTGCAGGCGTTTTATCAAAACAGTGTATGTTCGAGTGCTGAGCTCCATCTTCATGGCGCTCCACCTCCCTGCTTGATCCCAGATATTTATTCTTGACAGTCGTCTCACTCGTCATTTCTGTTGACCTACACGGACTACAGCCAGTTTAAACAAGGTCAGACCCCTGATTCGAGCTTCCACTTGTTTTTTTGTTGTTGTTTTTTTGTGTGTGTGTGTGGGGGGGGGGTGATTAATTTGTTTACATTGAGTGCATACCTGCATTTCAGAGCTGCATATCAATATTTCTGGAAAACTACTGGAGAAATTATTTCAACCTGCACAGTTCAGGATGAAGAGTTTATGGTTGATCTTTGTAGTTTGCAACAAGTACCTTAAGTAATCTGAATAAGGTTAATCTGTCTTAAAAACATTTTATCTTGAAGTCTGGAGTTTGTTATAAAAATCAATAATGAGATAAACAAAACATAAAATAATGGACCCAGCTAAACTTATTTAGAGATCTGGAAATGTAAAATGGCTAATCATGGCTGTTTATCTAATATGGACCAGTCATGTCTGGAACAAAGAACTCTAAGAAAAAAACATGTTATGCTAAATCTAAAGCTTCTATTTAACTTTTACAGTAAAAAAAAAAATGTTTTGTTGTTTAAAAACAAAGAGTTGAGATATTTAAGCAAATAATACTAATTAAATCCAGCGTGACCTAAATGTATTTTTAATTTAGCAGATTTAAGCCAGTGGAAAGATCTGTGTTTCACCTGAGATGAGCATTAGGCTAAGGCACATCATTAAAAAATAATAATAATCATACTGGTGCTTTTGGGACATTCTGAATCTAATCTAATTTAAATCTTTACAATCCATTGCTATCCATGAACTTTTTGTTGAGGACAACACTTTAAACAATTATTACAATAATTATTACATTTAAACATATTGACATCAGTCAACTCAGCTAAATTAAGTAAATCTAACATGTAATTTCAGTGTCTTGTAACAAAATATTTTCAAACCTTTGGTAAACTGTTTTCATGCCTACTCCCATGCTCGATCTCGCCTCAGACTCTGCAAACCCGTCTATAGAGGTGGTCCTGTTGTTAGGCGACGGCTGTTCTGCAGCAATGCTTCTGTAGACGACAGCTGTGCAACATCTGTATAAATGAAACAATGCAGCTTATCAAATCACTGTGGTGTATCAAAATAAGGAGTGTTACTCACTTTACTTTGAGCGGTCATAATGTTCTGGCTCATTGTATACAAAAATATGATTACTCAGTCTTCTGGTGCTTTACAGAAACAATACATTTAGAAGATGATAAAGAAAATAGGAGCGTCAGACATGATTCACTCATGGAGTAATGGCACCCTCCCCTGGAAATGCATCCTAAAAAGATTAGCCTCTTTTTTTTTTTTTTTTTATAAATCAGTAAATATCTTTCATAGCACTCCCGCTGCCTTTCATTAACCTATAATTCTGTAAACTAAGTTACTGTCAAACCAATCTCCACCTGATAAGACTAAATCTTAATGAATGACCTGAAAACATGAAAACAAATCACAAACATAACTACAACACAGTGAGGGGAAATTCAGTTCTTTACAAAGACTTTAAAGCAGGGGTGTCAAACTCACTTATAAAAGGGGGCCAAAATTAAAGCCTTTTTCAAACTAAGGGCTGGTTTCAGAATCTACATGAACTCAAATCAGTACCCAACATCTTTTCTTGGTTGCAGGTTTCCTCAACAAGAGTTTGACTGGTCTCATCTGACATTCTCTGTTGCACTTTTGACATCACAGTCAAAGATTACTGAAAAAAATAAAGTGATAAAAGTATTTTACATTTAAAACAACATCTTGGGGGCCAGATAAGATGTCAACGAGGGCCACATTTGGCTCCCGGGCCTTGAGTTTGACACACATGCTTTAAAGGAATGGGACATTGTTTCGGTGATTACGGGTGCTAAGATGGACAGCATATGTTGAGAACAGGTTTCTTAAAAGTGTTAGTTTTGCAGTAACAGGTACAGATTACTTTATAAAAAAAGGAAACATACTCTATTGTTTTTTTACAGGCCTCCCAAAACGTGCTGCAAACAGACAACAGCTGGTTAAAAATGCAGCTGAACATGCTGGATTCTCAAAAGTACCAGGAACTTGAACACCATAGATCTCTACAGTAGCTTTCTATTGAAGGCACACTCAGATTTAAAATCCCACAGCTTGTAATGTGTTGCTGCAAATTCTAACCCTGTCATGCAGCATTTATTTTAAGAAATCACTAATATTATGACCTCCAGGCTAGAAAAGGTGAAGGACCATCTGGTTAATCAGCAGAAGATTCAAAGGTTGGGGACAGATGTGTATTTGTGTGCATGGGTAAAAGCAAATGCTTCTCCGTAAAAGGCACCATGTACAGGGCACACGATGTGGAGCACCACGTGTGACCCGTGCTGGCAAAACGGTTCGTACTGAGCACAGGCTGCAGTGCAAAAGAAGTGGAAATGTTGAGATTTACATAAAAATCAGTCCATTAAAACACCTTTTAGTGATTCAGGTAACTTCATCCATCCATTATCTTTACCCGCTTATTCCATTTTGGGTCACGGTGGTCGCTGGTGCCCATGTCCAGCAATCACTGTGCGAGGGGCGGGGTACACCCTGGACGGGTCGCAAGTCCATCACAGGGACACATAGAGACAAACAACCATTCACCCTCTTATTCACACCTAGGGACAATTTAGAGTTACCAATCAGCCTAACATGCATGTTTTTGGTCTGTGGGAGGAAACCGGAGCACCCAGAGAAAACCCACGCATGCACGGAGAGAACATGCAAACTCCACCCAGAAAGACCCCTGGACCGGGGTTTGAACCAAGGACCTGCTCGCTGAGAGGCAGCAGCTCTACCAGTTGCGCCACCGTGCTGCCGATTCAGGTAACTTAAATAGCATATATTTCTAATCTACCTTTAAATTAACGTTTTCTGCCTGGTATGTCTTCAGAAATATTCCTTCATCCTAGAACCCTAAAAACCGAATAAACTCTCACTCGCCCCAGTAGACCTTCAACGATCACAGCTCTTTTCTCACGGGTGGCTTTATTCATTTCTTTACAGATTTTAACTAGCTTACAACTTCACCTAACCATCTTGCCATTAGTTGCCATTGTCAAACTGTTTTCATACATACTGTACATACAATAACGTATAGATGTTAGCAACACATCAATGGTTATACATGAACAAAAAGCATTCAGCTTCCATAACACACCACGTTACTTTTTCTACACAGAACCAGAAGAAACAATCACTCAAAAAACAAACTTTCTTAACGAAATCCCAAATTTTCATCAACACAAAACCTTCAGACAGGAACTAATCTGGATGTTGCCTTTTCTATGTCGCACTCATAATCAAAGAGAGACAGCAACAGAATCCCATGGTGTTTCACCCAATATCGTCCCCTCTGCAGCACAAAACATTAAACAAACATTTTGATTTACTTACAGTAAATAATTTCTTAAAAATACTTTGAGACAACAAAATAAGTATTTACAAAAATCATTTATAGCTGTTAAACTATGTATCATTTTGAAGCTTTTGAGATGTAGAATTTGAAAATATTAACTCCGTAATGAAACATTCCTCATCATGACCCGTTTTGCCAGCACAGGTAGGATGTCATCTCAGCAGTAATATTTATTTTTTATTTTTAAAGAAGGCTTATTTCTAACAATACTTTGGGTAATGATGTTTTACAACAAGACTGCACTGTTTAAAGAGAGATAAGAAAATATTGGAGAGCACAAACAAATGATCAAAACAGTAAATTTAACTAATAGCATCTGTGCATTAGTTTAAATAATACACAACAGACTCGAGGCCTGTAGGCCAGATCTGGCTCTTATTAACATTTTATCTGATCCCCCGAGATAACGTTACATTTTATTAGATGTATACAACAGATCCAGTCTTTCACTCTTAAAGTTGCTTTAAAAAATTGACTCTTTTTAGTGATATCTTCTCGTGGCAGTTACAGTGACAATAAGAAAATTATTACGGTAGGTTTTATTTTTCAGTAATCTTTGAATTTCTCATGGAAAAAGCAACAGAGAACATCAAATGGGAACAACCAAGCTTGTCGTTGAGAAACGTGCAGCCAAGAACACATGTCAGGTACCTGACTTGAGTGCATCTGAAAAAACAGCAAGGCTGCTTTAATGTATTTAGTCTTTTTTTGTTGTGTGTGTTTTCTTCTAGTTGAAAAGTTGTTGAATTTAAATTCAACTTTAAAGTCAAAGCTAAATTTTAGTTGCTGTATGTTCAAACTTTTGTTTATAGTTTTTTTTTTAGCTGATTTATTGGACTGTGACAAAATGTAAGAAAAAATCTTTATAAAGCTGATGTACATAAGAAATGTTTTTTTTTTTTAGATTTGGTCTATTTTAAGAGCCTGTTTACACAACTTGGTTTTTAAGTGAAACTGCAGCATTTCTGCTGCGTTTTGACCATTTGCTTACGTGACAACGGCGGCTAGTTTATCTGAAACGGAAGCGTTTTGAACCCAGGTCTCAGAGTGCAGGTTTTTTTTAGAAATGGCCGGCATCGATGTGAAATGACACAGGCACACTACAGACCCAGCAGTCAATAGATCTTCTGTGCTTGCACAAGTAGATAAACGGATAGCGGTCTGCTGTTTGTTCTGCTACGTTTTTCCAGGAATGACCCAACCTCAGCCTCAGTCCAAACGAACATTAGTGTATTCACCATTTTGGATGCAACAGTTTTCAATTATCGTTTTATTGAAGACCAATTTTTGCTCCAAGTCAGTATTTTCAATTCATTGTGGTCTAGATATATTCTCTCTGTACTCCATGCATTCTCTCATGCATGTGCAGGTTTCCTCCCTCAGACCAAAAACATGCATGTTAGGCTAAATGGTCTAAATTGTCTCTAGGTGAGCGTGAACGGTTGTTCGTCTCTATGTGTCCCTGTGATGGATTTGCGATCTGTCCAGGGTGTCCCCCGTCTCTCGCACAGTGACTGCTGGATATGGGCACCAGTGACCCCACTGCAACCCAGAAACGAAGAAGCGGGTAAAGATAATGGATGGATAAGGCATGCACAATGTGCCATTGCTATTCTTTGTTCTGTTGTCGCCGATTTGATTACATAAACATTATTAGTGGCTTTTGTTTAGCATATATCTAAGATCCTTATACTGTTTCATTTTATAATTTATATTTCTGCTATTTTTGGGTGTAAATGGGACTCCAAGTACATAATTTTGTTCCACCTCATGTACCACATGTGATGCGACTGACAATAAACTTGACTGATAAACCAAATTGTTGAATATGACTAAGCATCTGCATCAGACAGCAAATGGCTATCGATTAGAAAAAGATGAATGTGCACGTTGTACAAATGTGCCTGTAACAATCTCACTCTGCTATGGCAGCCAGCCCCCAAAGCCCCTTTTTGTCTTAAGCACAAGTCCCACAAAACATCTGTGCACATGTTCGGCCCACTTGTGTAACAGAGTGACACCCCTGCTTTAAATCAAACACACATGTGTTACACAATCTGCACAGGCAGGATTGTGGATCTGAAACATCACCCTGACAAAAACTGGTCAGATATGAATCACATGTGACGAACTTCGTGGTGTGTGTGTGTGTGTGTGTGTGTGTGTGTGTGTGTGTGTGTGTGTGTG